TCCTCCTCCTCCTCCGCCTCCTCCTCCTCCTCCTCCTCCTCTGTTCCTCCACGCCTGCATCTTGCCATGGCGCGCCAAGGGGGGCCAAGGCAGAGGGGCCGGGCCTTCCCAGGAGGCCTGCCAGGCCCTCTTGGCCTTCTGAGATCAGGAGGGGAAGAAACGCACAGACACGATTAATCCTCGACTCCCCAGAAAACATGGGAAATATGGGAAGTGGGGGGGAAGACAGAACCCCAGAAATTATGGGAAAATATGGAATATTTTTATTTGTGTGTATTTATTTGTGTGTCCTGGGGCCCCTTCATGAGGGAAGCTTGTGGAGCCTCCCCCGAAAGCGCCAAGAGTTTCCCAGAGGGCCCGTGGGCTTCGGAGGAGCCCCGCGGTCGTCCAAGCAGAGCCCCGCCTTCTCTCAGTGCCCCCCCCCCGGCGCGCCGCCGAGCCATCCACCGACCGCGCCCCTCGCGGGAAGGGGGAACTTCGAGACGGGAGGCGTGCGGGGGGGGGGGAGGGCAGCCTGGTCGGTGGGCTCGTCCTGGCCACCTCGGCGCCGACATCTTCGGCGGACCTGTGTCGATCAGGCCTCCGACACGTGGGCCAATCCTTCTCGGGGCGGCTTCGTTGATGGACTCGGCTCTCAGGATGGACTGCTCTGTTTACACCGGGTGATCCCCTGCGCGAGGACCGGTACTATATATCGAACGACGAGTTCCACTGCAACAAGAAAGTTTGCACGCAGGTCTGGAAGGCAGGCGCCCGCGCTCAGACTCAAGGGTGGTAACGACGACGACGACGGCGACGACGACGACGATGAACGATATGAGCGAGATGAGCGGGGAGTGTCGAGAGAGGAATGGTGGAGGCCAGTGAGGCAGAGCACTACGGGCGCTGACATAAGAGCGATGTTCGGAGGCACGAGCTGTGATGCGAGCCTAACGCGGGCATGTACACCGTACACTCGTTTGCTCTGAAGCGTCGCGTTTTTGCATTTGCTTGGCCGCCTGTCCAGCACGTGGTTGCGGAATAGTTATGTCTAAAAGTTGCGCGGCGTTTTTTGTCACGACATGTTTATGTATTCTCTCTGAGTGTCTTCGCCGCGTCTTGTTCGCAGGAGTTTCCTCATCTGGTTGCGCATTCATTTCACATTGTGCTACATCTCGCCTAAACGTTAAATTACAAGCATGCATGCAGTCTCTAATTCCACAAATCGCAAATCAAAGATATGGTCACAGTACTGCTTGCAGTTCCTGTAATAGTGTATTGCGCACGGTGTCGCAGCATTGTCATGTCTCGGTTGTCTATGCTACTTCACATTGTACCTGTTCTTCTGTTCGAGGCGCTGTGTCAAGCATTGTTTATGGAGTGGCGTTCCGTCGAACGATCATAACTTGCTATGCGTCGTGTTTCGTTCATTCGTGTTTTCTTCACTGCTGCTTCACGATCTACTTGATTTCGCTCCAATCTCGGTGTTTTTTGTTGTTTTTTCGTTGGAAGGGGGACCCGTGTGGACAGTGAAGTCGAGATTGGGTGTATCGCGCACGGGCGGATGGGCGGTGCAGCGGTTCATTCTCGCGCAAGCCCTCAGGGCGTCGAGGACTGATCAATGCTGTCAGCGGACGGTCGATTTGTATTGCAAACGGCAATTCCGCAATATGGAACGCTGCCGTATCGGTGAAGAGGCCAAACTTGATGGCGAGTCGCGCGCAGTAGAGGGGATGAGCCTAAAGGACGATGGAAGTTGTGAGTAAGGATTCGTACGATGCTGCCGGGTGATCATGTGGTGGTGAGCGGTTCGTCTTGCCGCGGATGATCGCGTGACGGATTTTGACGCGGGTTAGTTTTTAGAGGGCACGCTGGACGGATGTGGCGTGCAGACTCGAGACGCAGCTGGCCACTGTGACTTTGTGCGTGTAGCTGCTGCGTGTGCATCTTCTGAATCTGAAGCTGCCGCGGGCTAGTCAAAGCGTTTCCGCGATGAGCTTCAGGAGTCCGAAACCTCGGATTGGGCGATCCAAACCATGCTTGATGGTGGTGTCTGTGAGGAGGCGGGCATGGACGCGATCCTTCTACAGTTGTTTTCTTTCAGGAGTCGGTGACTAATTCAGCGTGCAGCTTTTGTACCAATGATAAGGTGGACGTTCATCAATCATATGTTCCTATCATCCGTCCCATGTGCTCCCATGACCTGGCAATGCGCGCGCTCACTGGTGGTGCGTGCATGCTGGCAATTATGCGCGGACTGCTGGCGGTGACATGCCACATCAGCGATAGGTGGTATTTGGATAGTGCAGAACACATGCTGCACCTCAAAATTTCGCGCACGGCTCTTCTCCATTTCTGGGCACAGAAAACCTCCGGATGTTCCGACCTTTGGCTTTTTCTCTTTTGCTTTTCTCCGTTTGAGTCGGCTCGCGTTTCCCATCTTATCTTCGAGAATTTGGAGGAGGACCAGAAACCCATCATGGTAATTTATAATGTGGTCTGCGATTCGTGGTGATGTGTGTTACGGGGTCATCTGCCTATGTCGCACGGGTAGTTAGAGCCGCCCTCCGTTTATCATTCTCCCGTTTTAAGCGCTGACTTTGTTTTTCTCTCACCTATCCGTTCGCCGCCATGCGGCCCCGAGGAAGTTCGGCTTCGCCCTCCCTCCACCTGTTTCTTCCTCCGTTTCCTCCCCGTGCCTTTCCATTCCTGAACCATTCGTCGTCATGATGTTTCCGTTACCCCACTCTTGGGGACCGCTCCTCCATTCTCCACGGCTCCTTGGACCCTTGACCCCATCCTGAGGACCCGAACCAGACCTGCTCAGCCCTTCGTCCATCGCGATGAAGGATGTCTGGGTCCCTCTCCTCTTCCTCCTCCTCCTCCTCCTCCTCCTCCTCCTCCTCCCCTTTCTCACACCTCGATCGCCTTCTGCTCCCCCGTGCCGACGAGGCTGGCGAGCTGGCGAGCCTTCGGTCCGTGGCCTTCGGAGCCGGCAGCGTGTGGGTGCCGATCGGTGCCTGGGCGGCCACAAAGAGCGGGAGGAACGAAGAAGGGGGGGGGCAGGAGGGAAAGGAGGTGGAAGAGGGAGGCCGGGGAGGCGGAGGAGATGGTGAAGGGGAAGATGCGTGGCGACAGGGTGGTGATAGAAAAGGAGCTTTGAGCATTCGGCCTCCTTGCGAGATCGCCACTGCAAGCCTTGCAGTGGCTTCTGTCCTCACGGCTGATTGGCCAATGGATGCCGACTTTCACTTGCGCGCGTGCTATCGGCTTTCGATTGCGACTGCTGATTGGCTAACCAATTCAAATTGTATGCCTTGCGTTTTCAAGTTCTTGCAACGTGAATTCGATCATCGCATGTATTTGATTGTTTGGGGACGTGCGGATGTTTGCCGGTCTGGCACTCCATCTGCCATCTTCAGCTGTTGGGTCAACTTGCAGCGTATGGGCGGATTCTGTTCCCCACCCGACAGGTTGGGGTCTCAGATTTTAAAAACAGACCTCCCGACCCGTCCACTCTGCATACCGCGGCCGCCAGATCCCTAGGCTTCCGAGTATGCCCGAGAATCCCGCCTCGCGCCCTTCTGCATACGAAGCCGCCAGATCCCCAGGCTCCCGAGTATCCCCCAGAGTCCTGCCTTGCGCCACTCTGCACACCGCGGCCGCCAGATCCCCAGGCTCCCGGGTATCCCCGACAGTTCCGCCTCGCGCCACACTGCATACCATGGCCGCCAGATCCCCAGGTCCCCCGAGTGTCTCCGAGTGTCCTGCCTCGCGCCGACAAATCATAACATAACAGAGCATAGCACCACACCGCGTAACATAACATGTCCGAGCGTAACATACACATTGAGACAGGACATATCGTAACATGACACGCCATGACAGACCAGTGCATACCATAGCAAAACATTACAGCACATATCATCCCATAACCTGACACAGCAAGCAAACCATCAGACCATATCGCAGAACTGAACATACAAACTCAGGACTTGCCACAGTTTTTCATACCATGACACATCACATACTAGCACACTACAGCATACCAACGCATGCTATGGCAGATCGGAGCACACGTATCATACCATATCAGAACAACATACCAGACCATAACATGGTGTACCATTTCGTACCATAACATACAATGGGAAATCACATCTTACCATGACACCGTCATATAGCATGACAGACAGCATCGCAGTACATATGACACACCATATCATGCCATAGCGCGGCATACTATGCTACGTGATAACATAACATAACATAGCATAACACAATCGGCCATCCTTTACTGGATCATACAGTACAGAGCAAACCACAACCTCATACCACACCATACAATACCATACCATAGCACACCATTACACACTCTATCGTCTCATAGCCTGTCATGTCAGAACATATCACACAGTCGCACACCATCAACGCAATTAACATTACATGGCATGAGCAATCGTACCATGGCATAGCGTGACATAACATATCATATCATCGCACAACGCTGTATATTATCACGCCATAACATTAAACACGCATACACATTCGTGGTATGTCTCGAACTGGCATACCATGGCACATCAAACCAGCGCATGCAATTGCAGCACATAGCATCCAACGCATCGCATACCATTACACATAATACCTCACACGAGCAGAGCACACCATACCATTGCGTAACACAACAGCGCATACCATTTCACACACAGCATTCCATATCTTAGTGTAACGCAGCATCACAGTATTTCACACCACGGCAATTCGTACCATGGTTTACCTCGGCATATCATAATTTAACACATCATGCCATTCGGTATAGCCAAGAACCATGGCTTGACACAGCAGCACGTGACATAACACACCATCGACTATTCCATCACACCGTAACATGTCGTATTGGAATTGTTTTACACTAGTAACAGAGTGCACTGGTACCGTATCATAACAGAGCGTCGTGCAGATTCCCCGTATTATTCGCATCACCAGTACGTTGGACAGCATAGCGTCGTCGACGACGACGAGACACGTCGAGGTCTATCCGAACGCCTTGTACACATCACCCGTACTTTGGATAGCAGAGCGCAGGCGTTGTTGCCGAAGGACTCCTCATAATTCTTGACCGTTGCATCCTCGCACAGTTGGCACGCGCGCCAGCAGTGTTGGCATCCGCCACTTCCTTGTAGACAGCTGTCCCGCCCTGGCTCTTGAAGCTATCGGGGGCATTCGAAGGGCACCGTACCCGTGCATCCCCCGCGCCTTTTTGACCTTCCCGCGGATGCGCGTTTCTCGACAGGGGTCGGTGCTTATTGGTTTTCTTGGCGCTCGGGGTCTGCGCACCCTCTCGGAGCGGTGCACGCTCACAACGTACAGTTTCAGGTCTCGCTGCTTGTCCCCCACCCGACAGGTTGGGGCCGTTAGACTTGAATCACAGATTTCCCGATTCGCCCACCCTGCACATGGCGGCCGCCAGATCGTCAGGTCCCACGAGTGCCCCCGTAAGTGCCACCCCGCGCCACTCTGCACATTGTGGCCGTCAGATTCCCAGGTCCCCGAGTATCCCCGAGGGTACCGCCTCGCGCCGCTCTGCATGCAGCGGCCGCCAGATCCCCAGGTCCCCCGAGTGTCCCCGAGCGCCGCTTCCCGCGCCACTCTGCATACGGAGGCCGCCAGATCCCCAGCAGGTCCCCGAGTGTCCCCGAGAGTCCCACCTCGCGCCGCTCTGCAACCCGCGGCCGCCAGATCCCCAGGTCACCGAGTATCCCCGAGAGTCCTGCCTCGCGCCACTCTGCATACAGCGGCCGCCTGATCCTCAGCTCCCCGAGAGTCCCGCCTCGCGCCACTCTGCATACAGCGGCCGCCAGATCCCCAGGTCCCCCGAGTGTCCCCGAGTACCCCGCCTCGCGCCAATCTGCATACGGAGGCCGCCAGATCCCCAAATCCCCCACGTGACCCGAGTGCCCCGCCTCGCGCCACTCTGCAAAACGGAGGCCGCCAGATCCCCAGGTCCCCGAGTGTCCCCGAAGTCCCGCCTCGCGCCAGTTCAGGTGGAGTCGAGACCCGCGGCGCCAGATCCCCAGGTCCCCCGAGTGTCCCCGAAAGTCCCGCCTCGCGCCACTCTGCACACCGCGGCCGCCAGATCCCCAGGTCACCGAGTATCCCCGAGAGTCCCGCCTCGCGCCACTCTGCATACAGCGGCCGCCTGATCCTCAGCTCCCCGAGAGTCCTGCCTCGCGCCACTCTGCATACAGCGGCCGCCAGATCCCCAGGTCCCCCGAGTGCCCCCAAGTGCTCCGCCTCGCGCCAATCTGCATACGGAGGCCGCCAGATCCCCAGGTCCCCCGAGTGTCCCCGAGTGCCCCGCCTCGCGCCACTCTGCATACGGAGGCCGCCAGATCCCCAGGTCCCCGAGTGTCCCCGAGAGTCCCGCCTCGCGCCAGTCTGCAACCCGCGGCCTCCAGATCGCCAGGTGCCCCGAGTGTTCCCGAGTGTCCCGCCTCGCGCCGACACATCATAACATGGCAGAACGGTGTTAGAACCTGGTACAGCCCAATAGTTTAAGCTATGACAGTACAGTGCATAGCACCACACCACCTGACATAACATGTCCGAGCGTAACAACCGTAGTATATCATAACATGTCGTAACATAACGCACCATGACAGAGCAGTGCATACCATAGTAAAGCATCACAGCACCGAACATTCCATACCACGGCAACGCAATCATACCATAAGAACACATCGCATAACTGAGCATGCACACATGCCATGCCACAGCCTTACATCGCATGTCAAGGTACATCATATTGCAGCACAGCATACCCACGCATGATACGGCAGACCGGGGCATACATCAGGTACCATACCATATCAACCCATGCCACATTCTGACGTATCATATCATACAATACCATAGCACGACATAACGTATCATACCATCACACATCGTCACAACACGTATACCATGAATATAACAGCGCAGCACACTTTCCAGATCATAACATGACAGAGCCCAGCATACGATGTTAATTTATACCAGAACCTAACACAGCATAGCACAAACCGCCATGCTATAATGGATGATGATGCTGCTTATGATGATGCTGATGCTGATGCTGATGCTGATGATGATGCTGATGATGATGCTGATGATGATGTAAATGACGTTGTGAACGTGGAATGGCGATCCGTTGTGGTGGATTGTGTTTGCGCTGCGGAAGGTGGTGAGTTTGATGATTGAGATGATGATGGCGATGCCGGCGATTACACCAAGGATGGCGAAGGTGATGACTACACCGAAGATGCTGATGTTGATGCTGATGAGCAGTAGGTGGTGGCTGAGAGACGATGCAGACGAGTGTGCTATTGACTATGAGGAGAGTGGCGGTGAGGATGAGGATGATGCCGATGATGATGGCGACGATGACGACGACGGTGACGACGATGCCGATGATGTTAATTATGGTGGTAATGATTGTGTTCATCATATTAATGATGACGACGGCGATTCTGATGATGATGATCATGATGATGCGGATGCTGCTGCTGCTGATGATGATTATGCCGATGGTGGTGATGATGTGCGTTGATGGTGCTGATGCTGATGATGGAGGTGATGGTGATGCTGCTGATGCTGATGCTGTTGTTGTTGATGATGATGCTGACGATGATGATGCTGATGATGATGATGATGACGATGATGATGACGATGACAGTGGTGGTGGTGATGATTATGGTGATACTGATGATGATGATGATGATGATGATGAGGATGCGGATGCTGATGATGATGATGATGATGATGATGATGCTGATGCTGATGCTGATGATGATGATGATGATGATGATGATGATGATGATGATGATGATGGCGCTGACGATGATGATGCTGATGCTGATGCTGATGCTGATGATGATGATGATGATGCTGATGATGATGATTATGTACATCAAGAGGCATAGTATGAGAGGGACCGCCCTCCCCGTCCGAGAGCGGCAGGTGCCTCCTCCTACCTAAGCCGCGTCTACGGCGAGGACTGGAGCGTCACCGTGCGCCCGCACCGCTGGGCCGCCGAGCTGGGCCACGGCTTCGGAGGGGCAGGGGAAGTGGCGACGAGGGGCAGGGCGAGGACGAGGACGAGGAGGAGGATGAGGATGAGGATCAGGATGAGGATGAGGATGAGGATGAGGATGAAGGGATGATGATGATGATGATGATGATGATGATGATGATGATGATGATGATGATGATGATCATGATGATCTGATTGATGATGATGATGATGATGATGATGATTGATGATGATGATGATGATGACGATGATGATGCTGATGATGCTGAGAATGAGATGATGATGATGAGAATGATGATGAGATAGATGCGATAATGATATGATGATGATGATGATATGATGATGATGATGATGATGATGATGATGTGATGAAGATGATGATGATGATGATGATGATGAATGAGCTGATGCTGATGATTATGAGATGATGATGATGATGATGATGATGATGAGATGATGAATGATGATGATGATGATGATGCTGAATGATGATGAGGAGGAGGATGAGGAGGGGAGGGGAGGAGAGTAGGAGGAGGAGGAGGAGGAGGAGGAGGGAGCATGATGAGGATGATGAGATGATTGATGAGGAGGAGGAGGGAGGAGGAGAAGGAGGGAGGAAGAACAAGGGGGAAGAAGGGAGGAGAGGGGAGGAGGAGGAGGATAGGAGGAGGAGGAGGAGGAGAGAGGAGGATGAGAGGAGGAGGAAGGAGGAGAGGATGAGGAGGAGGAGGAGGAGAAGAGGAGGATGGGGGTGTGACAGAAGAGTAGGAGTCTGCAGGCGTGGGACGCCGTCCTCCGTCGGGGGGAGGGGGACCGGGTCGGACGACAGAGAGGGGCGGGGGACAGGGAAACGGAGGAGGGTGCGTGATCCGTCGCACGCAGCTGGTTGAGGCCCCGCCGCCGGGCGTATCCCTCCATGTTCTGGCGCCTCTGGTACTGGGAGGCTCCAGGAAAGCCAGTTGCACCAGCTGATTCGCCCCTACCACCATTGCGTCCGCCCCGAAGGGAGAAGGAGGAGGAGGAGGAGGAGGAGGATGAGGAGGAGGAGGAGGAGGAGGAGGAGGAGGAGGAGGAGGAGGAGGAGGGGTAGGGACATGATGATGCTGATGATGCTGATGATGATGATGATGATCATCATCATGATAATGAGGAGGATGACGACGATGATGCTGATGATGGTGGTGATGATGATTGTGATGGTGGTGGTGGTGGTGGTGGTGGTGGTGGTGATGATGATGATGATGATGATGATGATGATGATGATGATGATGATGATGATGATATGATGATGATGATGATGATGATGATGATGATGATGATGATGATGATGATGATGATGATGATGATGATGATGATGATGAAGAGGAGGAGGAGGAGGAGGAAGAGGAGGAGGACCAGTAGAGTGGGGAGATCAGGGATCTGATCATGAACCCCGTGTTAAACGCAGTCGTCCAGCCTTCGCGCCGAAGACCGTCGGACACCGCCGAAGACCGCGTGAGACCGCCAGAGACTGCCGAAGACAGCCGAAGACCGCTAGAAGACTGCTGGAGGATGTCTAACAAGGGGTCCGGGAGGGGAGAGGGGGATGGGGGATGGGGGAGGAGGAGGGGGAGGGGGGAGGGGAGTCCGTGCGCCCTCCTCCCTCTGTCGGGGGGGCGGCGCGCGGGAGTGGGCGGCGGCGAGTCGTGGAGATTGGGGGAGGGGGGGTGTGGAGGCTCTTCCCTCCTGGTGCGCGCATTGCCATTTTTTCCTTCCATCCCCCCCCCCCTCAGCCTCTTCGGGCAATCTTCGGCCTCCGGGGGCCCTCCCCTGGCCTCGGGAGCGTGACAGAAACGACTCAGGATGCAACGCCAGTCCCGGGGAAGCGGTCGGGACCCCTGGGGGTCGACGCAAGGAAAAAATCGCAACGTCGGGGGTCTGGGAAGGCCCCGCCCCACGCTGAAAAAGAGAGGCTGGAGGCCTCCCTGCTTCAGCGTGGGTGTTTGCCTGTCGGTGGGACCCTTCGGCTCCTCGTCGCCACTCCCGCAGCAGACCGCGCTGCGGCCAGGCAGGCTCTTCTGTCCGAGCACCATGTCCACAGCCGCAGCCATGGTGCAGAGGGTCGGTCGCCGATGGGCGACCGGGCGCTCGCTGGGTCGCGCTCCGCTCTTCGCCCGCGGGTCTTCAGAGGGTGCGCGTGCCGACCGAAGCTGCGTGCGAGCAGGCGCCCGCACGCTTTAGGGCCCTCATCCCCGCTCTGCCATGGGCCCCGCCCCCGCCCTCCCCTCCCTGCCCTCCTCCCTCCTCCCCCCTCCCCGCCGTCCGCCCTCCTCCCTCCAACCCCCTCCCTCCCCCTGCTCCCCGCCCTCCTCGCTCCAGCTTCCTCCTCCTCTCCTCTCCGTGCGCCCTCCTCCCCCCTATCCCCTCCCCCTCCCTGCTCTCCTCTCTCCTCCGTCCGCCAGCCTCCCCCCCCCCCACCCACGCCCGAGGGTGGCGAGGAGCGGGGCGGGGACGAGACGAGGGGCAAGGGCGATGGGGGAGGGGGGGGGAGGAGCTGCGGGAGCAGGAGAAGGAGGCGGCTAAGATTTGCAATGGCGGTGACATTGACGAGAGGGAAAATGCGGGTCCTGGCATCGCTCACGCGTGTGCCGTTTTTTTGTGTGCTCGGCGAGGGCCATGGAGGAGCATCTGGGATCCTCTCGCGAACAGATGCAAGTAGGAAGCCGAGAAATGCGCACAGAGTGAACGTCCGAGCGATGGCAAGGGGTGTGGACGTGTAGTAGGAGTCTCCGGGCGAGACCGTGTATGAGCACCAGTACAATGATAAAGGATGGCGAGGAGGAGTGGATCGTGCGCAGGCGAAGCAGGAGTACGTATGTGAAAGCGATGATGATCATGCTCGCGACGACGGTACCAATGTCGATAACGATGACGATGGTCAGTACTATGATGATGCCGCTGCTGCTGATGCTGATGATGGTGGTGATGATGCTGACGATGAAGCTGATGATGACAATGATCATGATGGAGGTGACGGAGGTGACGATGGCGAAATTGATGGTGACGCTGATGATCATAGGGATGCTATTGCTGCTGCTGGTGATGATGATGCTGATGGTGATGATGATGATGTTGATGATGATGATGCTGATGATGATGATGATGATGAGGAGTGTGTGGAGAGAGCGTTAATTGTAAGATAACCGAAGCTATGGTTGGCAATGCTGCATCAACAATTCAGAGGACGATGCCTTGTGCCAATTGTTCTCTACTGACGCATCACGTCGTCGAGGCTGACTCCTTCGGATGTGGCTGGATCGGAGGGCTGGATGCGGATGAGGAGGGCGAGGCGGACGAGACAGCGGGCCGTGACGAGGAGAGGGAGGAGCAGGAGGATACGGAGGAGGACGGAGGAGGAGGAGGAGCAGAAGGAGGGACCAGATGAGGCGGATAGGGGGTACCGATGGTGATGCTGCTGATGATGACCAGGCTGGGGACGGGACTGGGGATGAGGACGGGGATGATGATGATGATGCTAATGCTGCTGATGGTGATGATGATGCTGATGCTGATGGTGATGCTGATGATGATGGTGCTGATGCTGCTGATTGTGATAATGATGAGGATGAGGATGATGATGCTGATCATGATACTGATGATGCTGGTGACGATGCTGATGCTGATGATGCTGATGATGATGAGGCTGATAATAACTCTGATGATGATCATGATGCTGATGATGATGATGCAGATGCTGGTGATGACGCTTCTGATGATGCTGATGAAGATGAGGGGGAGGATGAGGATGAGGATGATGATGATGATGATGATGATGCTGATGATCATGAGAAGGCTAATGCTGGTGACGATGCTAATGCTGCTGCTGATGATGACGCTGATGATGCTGCTTTTGATGATGATGCCGATGCTGATGATCGTGATGCTGCTGCTGCTGGTGGCGATTGTGACGATGCTGATGATGCTGATGCTGATGCTGATATTGATGATGATGCTGATGTTGCTGATGCTGCTGATGATGATGACGGGTGGGGGGGGGAGAAGAGGAGACTCAGGCGGGCATCTTACTCTACTATCTATTACTATACTACTATTACTATATACTACTACTCACTACCCACTACTATACTACTCACTACTACTAACTCCTACTATTTCACTCTAACTACACGTACTACTAGTCTACAGCAGTAGTAGTACGATAGTGTAGTAGTAGTCGTAGTAGTAGTAGTACCCCGTCCCTTGAGCCCCCGGTACGTTACTACTAATACACAATCGAATAATTCTTACATCCCTCACTTAAGAGAAGCAGCCTCCGTCCACCGTAGTCCAGTCCCCAGTCCGTATTCCAGTCTCCGTATAAGACCTACAGTCCATTATTTTCAGTATTAGTCAGCGCTGTCGTAGTAGTAGTCGTAGTAGTAGTAGTAGTAGTAGTAGTAGTAGTAGT